TTCGGACGTTCGACTCTCACCGATGGCTATTTTATACAATACGTAAACTTCACCAACGTGCGCCAACATGTCGGCCTTCTGTCTTTTCTACCAGTCTATTGTAGCCTATTGGATATGCATAATGCACCAGGTTCGAGTCCTGGGGGTGAGGTTATGAATGTCCATATGATCTTTTGGCAACTGAGGTCGGCTGAACGAACGGTAACATGGCTGGTGTTTGGTATGTCGTATCATTCCTCCCTCTCCCACTTCGACTCATCAAGTTTTAGTAGGAAAGGTTCTGACGCCTCGTTTGAATTTCGACGTGTTCGCCCGTCCATTGTTGGCTACTTTTCCAACGCTTCTAACCATCACACGGCGAAGTGGGAGTGCGGCCCCGACACGTTCAATTTGTTTCGTTGCAAATACGGTCTTTTTCTAATTCCTTCCCTCTTCTCCTACGCCGGACTCACTTGAAGGAGGAAGAAGGGAAATCCTAGTGTCTATTTGGCCCGCCGTTCTTCTGCATGGGTTGTGGTTGGTTCGAGTTACTCCTTGGGGTGCAGCTCTCCCGAGTATGACGTCTTTCCTCTGGAACAACATTCTTCCATTCCCCTCGCGTCTCCAGCACACCCACTTTGGCTTTGAGGGATTAGAATCCAGCTGCTTTGAGAAGGGGTGGCGGGACGAGAGTCGCATGCCTCTCGGACGCGCCGCACATCCTCATCGCTAAAAACAACGCGCTCGCCTGTACCTACGACTACCCCCAGTAGCCTAGCGGAACTGCTTAATCATGTACATCCAGGTTCGATTCCTGGAGGGGAATTTGTTATGTTATTCCATCTCTTCTTTTGTCAGAGCTACGATACATCGCCCACGCCATCCACTTTCTCATTCTTCTTTCCGCACACTCGTGCCAATATCCAGACTCTCTCGTCCGTCTCGCAGTTACCATGCTGCCTCGGTATAGTTCTTTACAAACGTGAAAATGTTGTCCACGTCATAGTCTAACGAGACAAGACTCAGTGCACTCGTTCGATTCGAGTGGTGGTCTTTGCTTTCCCTTCCAGTTGTAAATTTTTCTGAGGTGCACATACATTGTACCACTTTTTATGCATACTGATTCTTTGAACCAGAAAGTTTTCTATTTTCCCTGCCGAGACGAAAACACGTCAAGGCATTTTACCCAGTGGCTGTGTCTCGATGTTCAGGCCTAGTCTCAGCTGCCACGGATCGCTTGGTTACCTTCGCTCAGCATCTCGCCACACCCATATCGTGCATCAAATTTTGTCGGGATTGGTGTATTCCAAAAGGTGGTTTAGATAATTTTGGCTTATCCGGCGGCCCCAAGAGCCCCGGATAGCGACTATTTCGTCCTCCGCCCCATGTGAAAGCCCTCGTGTGAGGCGCCTGTCGACCCTTCAGCGCCGCCCGATGCAATTTGAACTGCGCCCGCTATTACCCCCACATCCCATCCATGGTATTCTCATGCATCAAGAATGCCAGTGGATCACATATAGGGTGCCATCTCGCAGCGGGAGGACACTCGGACCGTAATTCCAGCGAAAACGACAATGAGGACAGGACGGCGGAGTAGACTTTGAGCACAAGGGAAGGACACGGTTGGGGCAAGGCTACGGGGCAGAGGGAAGGGATAGTCAGTGGGATAGAAGCTTATGGAGGAACAAATGGGAGATGTCGAAGACGTCCAACGGCTGCTTTGGGGCATTGACTATACCATCCTTGAGCGTGATATATGATAGACGACACCAAGACGACGGCGACGCGAGCCCCCATCCGAATCCAACATGGGCTCCTACTATCATCCTACCTTCCTGCCGTCTTTTTCCGCCAACAGCAATGTTGTAGCTGCCCAGTGGCCCGTCTATTTCGCGTCTTGACTCCTCCCATATGCTGGACGACTACCAGTACTATTGGATTCCTACCCCGTTTTCTGATCCTCACCGCACGTCATTCCCGCGACTATACCACTGGTGCATTAGAACCTGTACCAGTGTCAGGAAGCTTGTCTGTGTATACAACAACCCACCATACGCACTCGGCTGTGGGCCTATATTGTATTTATAATTTGTACTAGATGGGTTCTACTACGAAACATCATCCGCACGCGTCATTCTGTCCTTCGTTCTTCTTCCCGCACACTCGTGATATCATGACACTCTCATCCTCCTAGCCTTGATATAGCTCGTCCCGTAAGTGAATATCCCATCCACATTATAGTCTAACGACACAAAAGTCAGTGCACACGTTCGATTCGTGGGGTGGTACTTGTTAATATAGCCAAATGGTTTTTCTGCTCTGTACCCCTTGTTTTGAGTTCTTTCTTGTTCGCAAGGCCTCGCTCCACACGGATACTCAATCCTCGGATAAGGTGCAGCAATTTGTCAATAGACCGACGCTCGACGCGAGCTAATTTATATCGCCTCATCCTGGTTTTGGCGACGACCTATCAACGCGAAGCACGACTAGGACCGGTGAACTGCGACTAACAAGCCCAGTAGCCTAGCATGTATCCGTGGTTATGCACCAGGTTCGACTCCTGGAGGCCAAGTTAGCAAACTTCACTAGCCGCGTTTTTCCGCCATTTCCGAGAGTTTATTTCCCTTCCAATTGAGAAGAGGGATGGGTCATTTGATCCGGCGTATAAGAGGAGACGTGCATTATCCTCGACACGTCCCCTTCGTTGGACATCCCAACCCAGATAAGTCGACCAGTGGGTATGCATAAAGCACTGGGTTCGATTCCCAGAGGTCGAGTTCCTCAGTGAGTCGATCCACATTTTTTACGTGTGATCACAATGCTGGTCCGAACGAAAGCGGCGATGTTCTCTCGTTTGCTTCTGTTCACATCTGAGATTCTTATGGATACACCAGGTTCGAGTCCTGGAGGTGGGTGGATTGGAGTCTGGACAAAGGCGGGTGTTTATAATCTTGTTCTATCCTTGCCGCCGCGTTGAATGAGCAGCGTTGTTACGTCCGCCATCGGTTATCTGGAAAGTTGAACGTTTCTTTGTTGTCTCGTGGCCCGAGCGTTGGATGCCCCAGGTTCGAGTCCCGGGGACGGATTTTCAAAGGATGCATTGTATATTTTTGCATTCTGAGATCGTGAAAGCGAAGGCTGAACAGAGCGTCTTCGTCGAGCTTGGACTCAGCACAAGTATCGTTCTGGCCGGTTTGTCAATGGTCTGGTGTTCATTGTTTTGCAGCGTTCCAGCACGAGGATAATCTGGGCCGGATATCAATGCATACACAGGATTCAACGCAAAGGACATGTCCACGTGTGTTAATTCAGAGAAAGAAGGGCCTGAGAGTCGCCATCGATCGCCTCTTCCAGCCAAATATTAATAACACATTCCGTGTCCGGATGCTTGATGTACAGAGGGTGGCTGAACGTCTGCTAGAACATGAGGACGACTCTCTTGTCAAACGACTGACCTTGAGCGACAGGAACCCCAGTGAACCATGCTTCGAGAAGGGGCAGGCATGTTAAAGCGACGTACAGCAAAATGAGTATAGATTGAGTACATGCATCTAGCGGATACAAATGAGAGGCAGCTCTCGGAATGATCTGACCAAGCACGTACCGCATCTCAAGACATTTGAGCTCCCCACTGAGTATCTCCACGTCAACATGGTCCTTATACTCATCTTCCTGGGCGACGATTTCTACGTGGTCCTTGTCCTGATCCTCCTGGGTCTGGTTCGAATAGCGCAAGGACCGTGTCGTAGTCAAGGAAAACTTTGGGGAGATGTCGAACTGTGTTGGTCAGGGAGTACACGATGAGGCTTGCTAGTGGTTCACGTGCAGTTACGCTAAAGCTGACGGTGATTCATAGATCCGTGTGTATGGCACGGAGGGTAGGTGACGTTGTATTCTCCGGGGAGGTTGCTCGATCCAAAACAGGTCCATCTTCATGGTCAAGTCAGTGGAAGAATCAAGCTTCAAGGCGCGATTCCAAACTGGCGCTGAGCTTCAAAGTACGCGTCGCGTCGTCTTGGACGAGCATGATGGTGGCTTGTCAAGTTTGTGATGGCTTGATCAGGGTCAATGCCACGCGATCGAGGCTTGTCTTCAATTGTCTTCTCCGATTTCCATTTTATACTTGTCTTTTCCTTGCCTTCTTTCTTTGAATATTTGTCTTTATTGTCTCAACTCATTTCCTTTATATACAGACCAGCCAGCAGCAGTAGTCCCCCCACTCCGACTACGGTCTCGAAACTCCCGAACTACCACCATCTCATCATGCCAGAAGCTTTCATCGCGACCTCCATTGTGAAAGAGGCGCTCGACGAGCTAGAAAAGTTGTGGGACCCAGCGCTCTCCGGTGCTCAGTCTTCTTCCCAGCCTCAACCTCAACAGCGGATGGCTTTTGATCTTTACCTAGTTCCTCTAACAAGCAATCCCGCAACCGCTACGTCTCTCCCTTACCTCTTAAAACACTTTCCCGGAGTCAGGGAGGCCATGATCACCTCGGTTATCCAACACGAGTTCCCCCCCTCTGATCTCTACAAATTCGACTCGCGCTACCAAGATGAAGGCGAAAAGAACACTTTGAAACTCCCCTCCGGGATCACTTACGAGGTCCCCAATATCAACTCGTCCCTGAAGGAATACAAAACTCTCAGCTCCATCATCGGGCCTCTATCGACCTACTTCTCTATTCTTATTGCGCACTACCAGTTTGCTGGAAATGCGGCCTTGCTTGCGGTCCAGCTGAGTCCGCTATAATGCCCACCTCGCGCAGATTGCTTCCGAATACGAATGGCATTTGGTTGTGCCATACCATATGGCGTTCTTCACGCGCAGACAACGCGAAATGATTGGCGGCGACTACGGTGGATGGGGGCGCGTTGACGTGGAGCTCTTTCTGGAACTACAGAATGAACATCTTCACCCTGATCGGAAAGACGGGAAACTCTAACTAATAGTCATTCCACAAATGTATCATCGAGAGATCATTAATCAAAATATCATATAGTATCTAGCACTAATCATCTTAGGGCACTATAGCCAAGTGGTTAAGGCGACAGATTAGAATACTATGCTATGATAAATTCATCTGTTACTCTCTGAGTGCGCAGGTTCAAATCCTGCTGGTGTCGCATGGTTCAACTTTTTCAATGCTTTTGGCGACAGCGTAACAGCCTACAGTCATCCACCGGTCCTTGATACGGTGAAATCGAAAAGAGCCTCGGGTAATCTTGTACGGTGTCGGGAGGCCAATCGGGCTGCGCCAATTACTGCATCTGTGTCTGATATATATATCTGATCACATTTCTGAGCATATGCAGAGTGAGTAGCATGATATCGGACCAGATCAGTTGCGAAAGTCCTTATCAATGGGTTCACGGGTCCTTGATACGAGTCACATCACGCATGATATGCCGGTTTTGGATGCCATCATCACTCCCATCGCTGAGCTGCTGTCTCCCATTTTCTCATCTTTGTCGACTGCCGCAGCCTCGTTATCTTCAATGCCTCTATTCTGGATACCTGAGCCTTGTGAGTGTCCATGCCACATCTGGAAAATATTGGAAGCATGCCAAGGAAATTTATTTATTCTCGATTTGGTAATCACTCTGTGACAGTTTCGAATCAGTTCTGCACTGAATCTCAAAAACCAAGGGTTCACATGCCTGCTTCGCCCTTCAGAGTTGGGATTAATGGACCTTCATACTTCTGAAATAATATGTACTGAAAAGAATCAGGGTTTTTTCCATTGAACTGCATTGAGATGCAGATTAAATTTCATCCTTTTTGTAATTTGTGATAATTTTGAAGATTGCTGGTCGTTGACTTCGGGGCTATCATAGATATTCATAGCAGATGAAGATATCATGTCTATGCATATAATAAAAAAAGTCCGAAGCAAATAGGTATGGTTCTGAGGAGGGAAGGCCTAATGTATCAAGGAGTGGTGCCGTATCAAGGACCGGTGGATGACTGTAATAGGTTACAGGGTACAGAAGTTAAAATTGTTTTCAAATTCAAATTTGAAGTTTGGATTAAAGACTTTAAGGAGGGTTAGTTGACTCCGAGAGTCAGCACTTGCTAGGGATCACTGCCAAGAATCCCAAGATTCAAATTTCAGGAGTCAGTGGTCCGTCCCACAGTGGGCACAGTACTGAGTAGGTACTAGGTACTCCGTCTCTCATCGACAGATCACTATGTTATTAATGGATGGGGTGGACTTCAAGTACCCTGTTCTTATAATTTGACTTTTTCGGATCTACTGCGTCCTCAATGTTGAACAGTGCTCGCTAGCTAAGTTGTTTACGTGTTATTGTTGTGGCGCGGTTACCAGTGGGTAAGTAGTCCCAAATTCAATGTGCCATAGCACCTTAGATCTGAAAGTACAGGGCATAAAAAAGTTGGTTCGGGAGCTTTGTACAGTAAATCAAAGGCGCAGCATACTCTGAACTCGCTTAGTACAGGTCCGTTCCGATAATCACTCTGCGTCCATCGTGCCCACTTCCGACGCTACCAGGACGCCTTTGACTCACTCCAGGTGACTCGGCATGCAGAAGAATTGATGGGACGAGGTCAAAATAATGTGCGCTTGACCTGATACTGAACTTGCAACGAAAGAAAATGATCAGTCAAGCGACGAAGTGGAACCATGATCTCATTCATGGCCACTTGTCTGCATAAACAAAGATGAACTACCTAGTTCAAAAAGAAGGACCAAGACCCATCTCGAAAAGGAAACGGCCCAACCGCATCATCCCACTGCCGCGCCACACCCTCCACCGCCCTCCGCGCCTCCTCAAACCTCTCCTCCTCCACCCACCCCTGCCCATCACACCCCACATACTCTACCAGCTTCTCAACCATACCCTGATATCGCACACGAGCCCTCAGCTCCTCATCATGGGCTTCACGCTCAGCCGGCGAAAAATCAATGGCACAGGGAACGGCACTGGAATCCGGGTCGGAAATCTTCATGAGCGCGTCACGGAGCTTCAGCGGCCCGTCAGCCCAGCAGCGGAGAACGTACAGAGGGAGGTCGCTCGTAATCTCCTGGTGGGGGTATCGCCATGCAGCAGCGTGGAGGGGCACGAGCTGAGGTAGCTGAGCGAGGTAGAACCGATACCGGGATAGCAACTTGTGGTGCAGCCGGAGGTATTCCTGTTCGTCCGTGGGGCGCTGGTCGATGTCTTCCGGAAGAGGCGGTACGCATCCTTCAGAGTCAAGCTCGAAGACGCCGTCGGTGTAGGCAAGAAGTGCTGGTATGGACGTTTGCATGAAGGCGGGAGCGACGATGGCACCCTGCCAGTCGAGGAAGCATTTGACTGATGGTTTCTCGGGGCTCTCGATGAGCATGTTTGACGCGCTCATGTCAGGGTGCGCGAGAAGGGGAGATAATAAAGAGGAGTCTGGGGGAGCCAGATGAGGAGCAATGGCTATACATTTTTCGAGGAGTCGATGGATTTCGGGAACGTCTTCATGGCTGGAGCGAGCAAAGGATGAATTGGTATCAATGCCGAGAGAGAGACATTCCTGCGCGAACCGTGCAGCGGCGGTGATATACGAAGCCATGTCAGGCCCTTGTGAAGGAATGAGCAGGGGATTTAAATATAAACAGCTGGAATGTTTACGCACAGGGACCACGATCGGCTTGTATATTCCTCCGCTCCCCCCGCCACCACTCCCTGTCAACTATGGGTCCAATTCGGTATTTCTCGGCACTCGGACGCTGGTTATCCTCGTCGCTCAGATATAATGGTCTATCCTGTAGCTCGGGGCTGACATCCTCCTTGAAGTACAAGCTCCCGATTTGGGAAAACTTCCGAAGGGTGAATGAATGCTGCAGCCAACATATGTCTGACATAGCATGACCTGTTTGTGCACCCTTGATGTGGTACCAACAGGACTGAAGAGGTGGATTTGGGAGATATTCCATGATGATGAAGGGCGACGCAACCGGATTCGAGGAAGATGAGTTCCAAGCAAGTACTTTGGGGGCATAACGGCTTTCGAGCTCATCGCGAACGAATTGCATAGTGGCGACTTCGCTGCATGTGCTCAAGTGTGTATTTCCGACGATGGATGAAGGAATGCGGGCTACGGCACGGGAGGCATTGTCAAATTCGAGGAGAAATATTTTATTATAGGAGCCTAGTGATGATTAGGACGAATATGAACTTGAAACAGAAATTGGATATACCTTCTGCAATCTTGGTGAAAGCGGTGCAGTGCCGAGCGTCAACAGATTTACATGCTATTTCCTGGAGAGCATCCACATCGAACGGCGTATATCTAGCGGCGCGTTCTGCAATATTAACTTGTCAGTTCAAGCCACTTTTAGGAAAAGGTCTTACGTTCAGCATCATTGTATAGCCATCGACCAGAAGGGCTATACAAGGTACGCGTTGCTAGTGAGCTCATCGAGCGTGCGCGTTTGGCTCGATGAGAACCTTGGAAGAAGATGCGAAGCTGAGCATGCATATGAAAAACGAGCAGAAATCGACCAAATGAGTCGCTTACCAAGCGATAATCTCGGCCGGGCCGAGAATTTCTCTCTTCGTGTCTCTCTCTGGATACTGCCCAACTCTTCGTCAGTACCCAAGTCTTCCTTGAGCTTTTCGAGTCGCATTTCGTAACCCACTGGTCCCAGAACAGACGCCTCCATCGAGTATGAAAATCCGACGCTTCAGCCTGGAAACTGTAGTCGTCTTTCTCGTATAGGACTGTGTAAGGTAGTCGTGTCTTTCTGGTGGAAGTCGGTCGACATCTTCGGCTAGGGCCTTCAGCTTAATGTGTCAATATTGAAGCTTGGGTGAAGATTGGTGAGGTAGCGGCGTTTTGCTAGTCAATGAAGCAGGCGAAAGAGCAAGCATAATGAAATGGAGGATGTAGTTCAAGTTAGAGATGTGCCGGAAATTGCCGGCCGACGACGTATCGTTTCTCTAAGCGGCACCCTTCTACCAGATATAATGAGAACAAATGATCAAATAACATATCATAACAGCAAATCATATAAAAGAGCATCCTTATTCGATATTCAAGCAATCATCAGATCCATTCCTTTGAGAATACATCGGAATCGCCGACCTCAGGCCTCATAGGCATCATCCCCGTCTGCCTCACCCTCATCACTATACGCGTCTTCACACTCGGCAAAACTCCGTTTTTGCTCAAGTTTATCGAACCCAGGATAGTCCCCACATACCTGCCTGCCCTCTTTCTCCCATACGTTCCGCCTGATTCTCTCTCCGCGGACATCACGGCTGATCCTACTTTCCAATAGACTTAACGCCATCCGAGGAACGATAACTCCACGCTAAAGATGTCATTATTTAATCACAAAACCAACAACTGAGAAGACACGTACGTGTTCATCAAGCCTCCTCTGCACCTCCCTCAGCTCTCGGAAGAAATGACAGTACATTCCCTTCCAGTCAAAGCTGATCTCAAGCTTCAAGTCAAAGTTCGTATCGGAGAGGTATCGAAAGTCTGGTAGCACCGTGTCATTGAGTTGGTGCCGGATCTGGATAATCATGTTCGGGCGTTCGAGGGATGGACCAATCCTCAACACCTCTTCTATACTAGTTTTGTATTTATAGGATTCAAATATCGCACGAGCAGAGTCGGCGGGATCGAGACAATAAAACTGAAAGTCTATGTCTGTGCCGTGATGGTCTTGTAAGAAGATAATCAGTCAAGAGTGGGCACAATATACGCTAATTCGGCCTACCGTTCGTTTCGTTTCTTGTTTTTATTGGTTTGGGGTCGAAGCGAAGCGAAGTTTTGTTCAGGTGCTTGGTGACAAAGACGCGTTCGACCGCGTCTTTGCATTTGCGAGAGACTGGCCTACAGTTTAGCCAAAGAAAACATAGATCTTTGACTCGGACACCGCATCGGAGCAGGATTGCATAGAAGACATCGACAGGAATATCCTGAGATGGAGGAGGGGACATGAGAGTCAGTCGAAAGTCTTTCTTTTGAAATCAGAGTCTTGTGGGTCCAAAGAAGCAGATCAGTGCTATAAGTGCCCTTAAGGATTCAATTCACTGGCATCTCGGCTGGGAATCCCTACAAGCGGTTGCCGGAAGGCTCGTCGATGGGTAAACTTTTGGAATATTTGCGGCTTCGATGACTC